TATCGACCTGGAAGGGTGTGGGCAGTGGGGTCCCGCAGGGCTCGGTCCTTGGACCGATACTCTTCAATGTCTTCATCAGCAACTTGGACGAGGGAGTGAAGTGTACTCTGCCCAGGTTTGCGGATGACACAAAACTGTGGGGAGAAGTGGACACACCGGAGGGCAGGGAACAGCTACAAGCAGACCTGGACAGGTAGGACATATGGGCGGAAAACAACAGAATGCAATTCAACAAGGAGAAATGCGAAGTGCTGCACCTAGGGAGGAAAAATGTCCAGCATACCTACTGCCTACAAAATGACTTGCTTGGAGGCACGGAAGGGGAAAGGGATCTTGGAGTCCTAGTGGACTCCAAGATGAACGCGAGTCATCAGTGTGATGAAGTCATCAGAAAATCTAATGGCACTTTAGCATGCATCAGCAGATACATGACGAACAGAACCAAGGAGGTGATACTTCTCCTCTATTGGGCGCTGGTCAGACCGCAGTTGGAATACTACGTGCAGTTTTGGGGGCCGTACTTCAAGAGGGATGTGGATAACCTGGAGAGGGTCCAGAGAAGGGCCACTCGTATGGTTAAGGGCTTGCAGGCCGAGCCCTATGAGGAGAGACTAGGGCACCTGGACCTCTTCAGCCTCCGCAAGAGAAGGTTGAGAGGCGACCTTGTGGCTGCCTATAAGTTCATCATGGAGGCACAGAAGGGAATTGGTGAGGCTTTACTCACCAAGGCGCCCCCAGGGGTTACAAGAAATAATGGCCATAAGCTAGCAAAGAGCAGATTTAGACTGGACATTAGGAAGAACTTCTTCACAGTTAGCGTGGCCAAAGTCTGGAATGGGCTCCCAAGGGAGGTGGTGCTCTCCCCTACCTTGGGGGTCTTCAAGAGGAGGTTAGATAGGCATCTAGCATCTAGGGTCATCTAAACCCAGTACTCTTTTCTGCCTACGCAGGGGGTCGGAGTCGATGATCTATTGAGGTCTCTTCCGACCTTAACATCTATGAATTTGGATCGCATGAGAAGACGTATATAGGAAATTATGTTTGTAATAGAAGATATTGCATTTATTTATTTATTTATTTAATGGAAATATTGATTAATTTGCATCCACTGGTTTCCTGTTCTGTTGGAGTCCAGCAGATTTTTGGTGATATTTATTTACAGTACAGAAGTAGTATCCTATCCATCCTGCGAAATTGTGGGAATAGACTACTAAACAGGTCTGAGAGATGTCAATTAGATTCCACGCATGTATTTTAAAAGAGAGCTAGTATGAGCCAGCTTTTTGTCAGTAATTAGGAGTCATTCTGAATTTAGGATACAACTTTTCGTTTACTGTACACAAACCCCTCTCTTTGCAATGGTGCAGCCATGTCCAGAATGGAATCTTTATGTACCTCTGATCTGGGCACAGACTACCAAAAATCCTTCTTGTGCTTTAATATCGGGCCAGTCTATTTATAATTCCCTCCTCCAGACTCCGACTCCTTTTTCTTTGGAAATCTATAGGTTGTGCACCAAGAAAAGTACAATTCACAATCTGCAGGGGTTTAAAATTTGAACCTGGTTGAATTGAGATTCACAGGCTGAAAATTAGACAGGCATAACTTCCACTATTTCTGTGAAGATCTGTCCTGGGAAGCCATGTAAAAGGCTATTCTACATGTCCAGATATGCTCCAGGGTGGAGGAAAAGCAGTGAGGCCAGAGAGTATTATGACTACTACTGTAGAGAAAAAAAATCTCAGCAAACACTTTGGGCAGGGTAGACAGGCAAAAGCAAAAAGGTTTACAGCAGCGAGTGACAACCCCTGGCAAGCACGTAAGAGCATGGCACCTGAGGCCATTTTGCTCAGCACACCACAGCTGGCTTGGGCTCTGGGCATCTACCGCTGGCCACACAGTCCGGACTGCTTGTAGCAGGAAGGCTGCAAACCCTGCTGCGAGCAGTCCAGGCTCTGTGGCAGGCAGCAAGGGACTGCCCAGAGCACAAACCCAGCCACTTCCCCACCATAGCCTCGAGGCATGCATGCAGCCACTGCCAGCTATAACAGCCTGGGCTGCTTGCAGCAGGTGGTGGGCAGGCTGTAACCAGTGCACCAGGGTCTGGAGCTCCAGTCTAGCTCCATGGCTGGCAGTAGCTTAACAGCCGCATCAGGATGCATGGCAGGGAAGGGGCCGGGGTAGCACCACCAGAACAAGGATTGGGTCCCTTGCAGCTCCCCCATCTGCCCCAGTACGCCAACATCATACGAGTCCAGTTTGGGGTGTTTTTGGCACTCCACCCAAAAATGCTGTTGATCCCTGGTTTAGAGCCCGATTTTTGTACTGTTTGCTCATTAACAATATACATTATTTCTTTGTGAAACATGTTTGTTTTAGTCTTTTTGAGGTTTGGAGCCTCTGGAGTTTGCCCTGAACAGGCCGAGGGGACTTTTCTCTGTGAGAACCCTCATGCTCCTGATCAAGCCATCCATGACGAAGTCAAAGCTTTAGCAAAAAGGAGAGACCTCAGCATGCCATACTGACTCAAAGCCCTATTCTTTACCAGTTTCTGACAGCAGGACATGACTTTTCTCTAAAGCTTTGAAAAGCTCTTCCTAGACCTAGTTCAGTGCTTACAAGCTATCTCCACTGCTGTGGACAGCCAGGGATCCCTCTAGTATCATCTCTCTCTAGTGGAATTAGTGATTGCTCAGCTGATAAATCATCAGGGAGAAGAAAGAGAGGAGCTAAGGTTGAAATAAAGTCACAAAACAAAGTAGTTGGGAGGGAATGAGCCATCAACTTACTCTATCAAGAACAGAATTTTTGGTGGCCTGAGTTGAAAGGAGGTATGTAGTTCTGGAGCCTCCAACAATAACATTGGACTACCTCCAACTGTACAGATGAGAGATATTACACATTTGTGACAAATGAGAAGTTGGACAACAGAAAAGAACATCTAAAAAACAACATAAGCAAAACTATTGGACAAAAAGAGGATTAGCCAACTTCTTCACGTGGACCACAGTATTAATCAAAAGATTACTCACATTTTATCTTACTTCCATATGTACTTGTGCTGGCTACCGCACACTGAGCTCCCTTCCCATACATGCCTCCAAAATCTCTCAGTGGCAACCATAGCTATGTGTAAGCAATTACTAAACTTGTTCCCCTTCATCCCCAATGCAAAGAGCCATAATATACTAATTAGCAGTTAGAAACAAGGAAGCCAGAGTTTATGTTGCCTAGTAACTCCATGTTAATGAATAGGCAGAGCTCAATGGACCAGTCTGAGAACCACTGGAGAAACTTAATGGCTATTCTTTATTGTTTAGGCCAGATTGCTTTAAATGAGAACCTGCAAATTAAGATAAGAAGAAAGAGAGAGACAAGGGAGAAGTCGCAGGAAAAAAAAACAATGAAAGCCAAAGGAAAAAAAAAAGTTAACTGGATATTATAATGCATTAATTTTAATAGCACTTCACTATTGCCTCAAACTTAAAGAAGGAATCTGTGATGTGTAGTATTTTTACATGTGTAGAATTATACATTATTAGTGTAAAAGAGTACTCTACTTCAAAATTCCTTGATGCTTACTTTTAGGGGAAACTGAATACAAGTGGAGAGAGGTGATACAGCTGTGGCTTGGTAGATATTTAAGAGCTCTGATATACAGAAGCTCACTGGATATCTTCCAAGATTTACCTTTATGATGTTTGCCTTTGTAAGACTGATTTTGACATTTGATTCAGGAGATGGGTTTCCCCACTGATCACAGAGCTGAACTATAAGAGGCTTCTGCAGTTCTCTGCCATTAATCACTGAAATAGGCTGTAAGAAAAACAAGTACATATTTTACTTTATTCTAAACAAAACATTTCAAATACTCATAATGGGGGAGAGATCCATGTCCAAACAACCAATTATGAAGCTACACTTCAGAACTCCAGATCAGCTGGTGTTTCCAGAGGTGCTACCATCCAAATATTTTCCTGATGTAGAGTAGGAGCTGTTTTTTACTATCTTAGAAAAACAGTACATCAGAAGTAAAAGCAAAAATAAGAGAAAGTAGGACTGCCAACTAGTGCCACTGACCAAGGAAAAAATTATTTCACGTAGAATTAAAGGTAAGGTTAGCCAGGATGCCAAGCAACAAACTTAAATTGTCTTCAAAGTCCATATTCAAGAGGAATAACTCACTACTTGCGAGATAGGAAGAGTAAGATATAGTAAAAGCTGTGTGAACTGACAATTTACTAACTGGAATACTCTTAAGCAGAATTTCCAATATCCCCCAATACAAATCCTGACTTTAGCAATTGGAATCTTAGCTGAGTCTATATGGCATGTGCATCAAGTATTTCTGTTGTTTACATTAGTTAGTGACTTTGCAGACAGACAAGCTGCCAGGAGCCCTTCTAGTTAATATCTGGATAGGTGGGGGGAGAAAAAAAAAATTGTGGCCGGGGGGAGGGAGGGATCTGCACAGGGCAGGGCAGGGCAGGCTGCTGCTGCGGGTTAGGGCCGAGGCAGTGCCAGGTTTCTCCCAGTGCGCGTGGCCGTGCTGCACTCCTGTCTTCCTTGATTGGTATAACTCTCAGATAACCAGAATTTTTAGATAACCAGCACCCCCTTTCCCCCACTCATGCCAGATAACAAAGCTTTTACTGTAGTTTGAATAACAAGATAATCTGGAACAAAAAGTGTCATTAAATTTAAATGCAAGTCTTAGTAGATATATTTGTAAAACAAATACTACTTTTAGAAGCCAGCTGATTTTAACCTGAGGTGGGAAGTTATTTTGGCTGGCCAGCCACATAATGAGTTTTGGTGAGTTGTCAACAGCTGCACACAAAATCTTTCAGAAGATATCATTTAAACAAAATATAGATAAACCCCCCCCCACGTATTAAAAATCAAACATCTACCATACCCTATTTTAATTTTATTTCAAAAAATAATTTTTGTCCTGATTTATACTTTTTAAGTAGTGTATATAGAGGTGTGTGCATCATAGCTCAAAATAATGACTTACTCTTGTATATTGTGCGTTTGTTGGGGGGGGAAATGTGTGCGCGCGCACATGGGGGGCTCCTCACGTGCTAGGTCGTGGGAGCTGGCCAGGCAGGGCAAGAGTTGTGGGCAGCAGAGCTTTACCAAGCAGGGTGGTACAGGTGCGGTCCACCCCCACCCCCGGCGTGGCTCATGGCTGCCCCTGTGGCACTCCGCATGGGGCCAAGCCTGCCTATTCCCACCTGGGGCAGCCTGTACCACATTCCGGCCCAAGCTCACCCCATGTTGGGTGGCTCCTGCCCCAAAAACTCCAGGATGCCTTCCATCTATTTGGCCACCTGCAGGGGGCTGCACATCACGCCAGGCAGGCAGAGTGGGTGGAAGGCAGCCAGGAGTTGGAACTCCATACATTGGGGGAAGAGCTGCCTGCCTGCAGCTTCCCCCGCCTGTCTGGTCACATGGTATCTGCATATGCTCCCAAGACCACCAGGGCTTATGTACTTTACCTGGTGCCAGCAGCTGTGCAGCAGAGGCAGGGTCAGGGGAAGGAAGAGGAGGAGCTGCTGGAAGCAGGGCAGGGAACAGAGCAGTACCCAGATGGCTGCAGCAGCAGTAGCCCTGCAGAGAAGCTGAGAGTGTTGGCTGGGGCCGGAGCGGTGCCATCAGTGGGCGCAGGGCAGAAGCATGACACAGGCTTCCCTGAGCAGGAAGGGCTCAGCCCCACTGCAGAGCACTGCAGGGTCAGCTGTGGGCTGGATACAATACATTGGTGGGCCAGATCGAGCCTGCATGCCATATTTTGGCCGCCCCTGTTTTAACCTGTCTGGTAAACCATAGTATGAAGAGTGACTTGATGATTACAGTCCTGTTTATGCATGTCTGTATTAATAAAACAGTTGGTGAAGAAGGCCTAAATTGCTTTGGTCAGGGCTACATTGCTTTTTTGTCAGAGAAATTCAGAAATAATTAATATTTTATGTTGAAAAGAAAAAAAAATGTAACTTTTAATGTTTCTTCTTACATTTCAAAGCGCCCTGGACTTTTAAAAAATAAAATGCAAGAAAGCTGGTGATTTAAACCCTTTGGATCAGAATTAAAAGAAATCAACTTACCTCTTCTAACTCCGGCCAGTCCACAAGGTGCAGTTTGGCTGGAGGTCCAGCAGTCAAATTTATTCTAAGGAAATCAGAAAACTCACGCCAAGCAAAACACAATTCTTTGCTTTCAGGTGGACCTGGATTAAACTTAATACCTTTTACTGTAATGGTTTGTGTACTTTCCTATTAAGAAATATAAAAACATCTGATTAATAAAAATAAAGGGAAATGCAATATATACTTTGATTTTTCATATATAACAATGTGTCATAATATTTATGTATTTTACAGACACCTGTATTTTTTTGTACAGTCTAAGACTTCAGCCACTTGCCCGTATTAGCTCAATTCACCATAAGGTCCACAAATGGACTGAGGATCTCCATTTGTTAAACCTTAATTACCAACTACTGATTTACTACAATGAGTATGAAAAAGTTCCTAAACCTGTACACAAGTGAAGCCTTGCAGAAAAAGGAATTCTCTTATATAACTGAGGCAATATAAAAAAAAAAAAAAAAAAAAAAAAAAAAAGAAGTGAGAATGTTCCTAGTAAACATAGGACTAAATGAACTTACTTTCACTGCAAGTCCTAGTACAAACTCATCTGGCCCTACAGGCTAGATGAGTGGTAGGGCTCCAGTCTGTGGGCTGAAGAAGACCCACAGACCAGTCCTACATCCTGGTCCTGCTCCAGCCACCACAGGGTTCTGCAGAAGGGCCCCAGAGCTGCTGCTATGGGGCAGTGTTGCACATGGCAGCCACTCTACCATTCCACTTTGTTGCACTGTGCCATCCAGCACGCCCTGCATGCTGCCTGTGGGTTACTCTGACACCCACAGGTAGCACCAGGGCCAGATGATATGATTCTACGGGTTGGATCCAGCCAGCAGACTGTGTCTTTGATATCCTTCTACTAGCCTATGTAGCAGATACACAGACACCCCCCACCCATATACATATATACACGCACGCTTTTTTTTTTTTTTTTTTTTAAACCAAACCTCCCCACACCCAAAACTAAGAGCACTGAAAGAGAAAGTTGCTTAAAAATGAACTGGCAACTAGAAAGATGAGAAAAAGATTTTTTTAAAAAGTACCTGCCAAATCATTTTCACATTTGATTTATCAAGCCCAATCCCAGAAATCCCCAAGGAATTTATACAAGAGGATGTCAACGTCTGAATCTGATTTCCATACTGATCTGTAACCATTATATCTATGAAAAAGAAGAATGAGTATTTTACAAAAAAACAACCAACCTGTAGTTGTCTTGAAAAGGACATGGTACATAGTAAGAATGTGTATACATTACATATGTAATATTTATAAATAGGTTTGGAATCCTGAGAAATGCATTCATTTACTATGTCCATACCAGACAAAACTTCTCTTTCCTCATTCACTGAAGATCAGTCTTTTACTTGCCATACAACTGAAAGATAAATCTTTCAATGATGTGGTACCCTGCTAGAACACTGACACAACTAGCTGCTATACATTTTTTTCTTGCTTCAGAGAGGAGTTTTATTTCAAGACTAACTATAATTTCTCCAAATGTCCTTAGTATTTCTAACTTGTATAAGCTTTTAAGGAGATACTGTACAGTTCTGATTATAAGTCTACTTTCTTTGCTTCTGAAAGAACCATACAAATACCTTTTACTTGATGATTTGATTCTCCTGTGGAATTTTGTAATGGTAAAGCCATTGGTAGTTATTGACTTGCATTCTGGAAAGAAGTTATTTTTCCTAAAAATTTACCTGAAAGCATCAGGTCAACTTACAAGTGGAAAAATGCAGTGTTATCATCTCATGTTCTTAGAGCACACTGAGGTAATTTTAAACAAATCAGCAATTTAAAATTATATTCATACTACAGAAGATGTCACCAGCATCTAACAAATTAATATAATGTAGTATTAAGATGGCAGTCTTATGTCAACCCACAGAATTCCTTGGATACAAACATCTGTAGTACCAAAGGCCAAGGAAACTTAAGTCATCAATACTGCAATGATAGCATTATGCAGATAAGTTAAAAGCTATGTAAATAACCTGAGCACTGCAAAACCTGATCTCCCAAAGATGCCTCCTTATACTTACAGCCTTAGCTGTCAAGAAAAACCAGATTTCTTAAATAAGGACTGGAAAAAAATAATCAAATAACAAGTTCTTCCTAATAATATAAGAAGGAATGTCAAGTAGGCTAAAAATTCACATTTAAAGCAAATTTGAATAAAAGATTATTTTAAACTTTAAAACATTTTCATTTTTAGAGAACTTCTTTTCCATAACAGGAACATAAAGATCATGCAGATACTTCACGCTATATAGTATTTATACAGATAAGAGAACACTGAGTTGTTATAAACACAGTTAGTAAATCCAACAATGAAATGTAGGTTCTGCAAGTACTTACCAATTTCACTCTGCAGTTCTTCACCCATTTGCATGGTATTTGGCCCTTTTAATTTGCACTTAATATGTTTGGGTTCATCTGGAAGTGGTCTGGATTAACATACAAAAATTGGTTGATAGAAGTTCCAAATATACAGGCAAAGATTACATCATATATCACAGAAATTAATAATATTTAGCAAACAGATAACCTAGTAACAACAAACAAAAGGCAATTTAGAAGAGCACTTGGTAAACAGTTGTGCCCCAAGTTTCTTCCCACTGTCCTACTGCTTGTCCCAAGGAACAGACAGAGGTCGCCTTGGGATAAAGTCCTTATCCCGACAAGCACCAGCTACACTACCTTTATACTGTACCCCACAGCTTCAGCAAGCAAATCTCTGCCAACTCTAGGTGGCTTCCCTTTTGGGTTGTGGAAAGTATTTTAGGTCAGTCACTCTACAGAATGAGCTAACCTAAAATATCATTCGCCCAGAGATCACTATTTCCATAGGCAACCAATAAGGAGATAAACAGCAAAAGGATTTATGTAAAAAATAGGAATTACATAAGCAAAACTGATCTTACATTTGAAAATAGAAAAATAAAACAAGTAACGTTTTTTACCCTCTCATCTGGCTACACCCTAGTCCTGCCAGTGTTTTCAGAGATCAGCCTTCCTGCTG